ATTTTTACTCTGCATAAATAAATTGTTATTCTAGTACTGGGCAATCTACACTACATGTAATACTTGACCACACTTTTATTAGGCTGATCAAATGCAGTCAGAGAAAGCTCGCTTTGAAGAGACTGTGGGAGTCATGTCAAAGCAATTAATGGACTTTGTTGAGAAAATGAATGATCTGGAGCAAGAATGCGTAAGTTGAACCACAAACATTTTATAAAGTTCTGATACTATAGTATATGAAAAGGGCTCTTATCGTAAGCCTGCCATCCCTTGTGTCAGGTGATAGATGGATAGACAGATATATAGACAGATAGATATACTTGTAACACTGAACACCATGTAAATTGAGAATTAACTAAGAATTATTGACCAGCAGTAAAGATCCCATTTAGCGGGAAAACAACGCTAAGGGTTTGGAAGGGGCATAGGAATTGGTGGAGATAAGCTATTGTGCCCTTGGTACCAAGAGATAGCACCAATGCCATCGACTTTGTTAACAAGAGATCTGGGTATGAGATTAGCAGCAATATGCAAGGAAGGACTGAGAACTAGGACAGAACTCGAAGAATATAGGGGAGATCTGTCGAGAGTTGAGAACAACATTTGTGTCTAAAAAAAAGAAAGGAGGGGAAAGTGAACATATAATTGTACGTTATAGTAAACTTAACCCTTTAAACCCTAAGATCAAAATTTGAATTCCTATTTGTTTGCCCTATTCATTTCCTACAGAAGTAGTGGGAAGAAGTTAATAAAATATCAAGCAAATTCATCTTGTGTGATCATGTCCATAATTCTCATGACCATTCTGTTTTACAAAGCATTGATATTAAAAGGAGAAAATTGATGCTGATCACTCTTAGGACTTTGGGTTAAGTGACCCCCACCCAACCACTGTGGAAACTACAAACACACCTACCAGGAGGAAGGAGTACTCTGGGAATTCTTGAGTGGGGGTGCTACCGGGATCCTGGAACCCTTGGCTTTTACTAGACTATGTTAAGTTGCAATGTGTACTACCCCATTCTTCACTAGGCACCAAAAATCCCTATGCTATCCTCCAATATTCTTCTAACCACTGTTCAGTACCCATAAAATAATGATACATAACCATTATTTTAGACCAGAATCCTTCGAATTCTATACCCTATCTTAGCCTTCCAGTAGCACATACAGTAGAACCCTGGTAACTCGAACTCTGAAGGGAATCAAAAAACAGTTCCAGTAAGCGGGGTAAATTTCAGTGAAATTCTGATTGAGGGAAAGGAAATTTAGTTTGAATTAGCAGGGAATTCAAGTTATCCGAGTTCGGGTTATAATAGGTTCTACTGTACCTGAATGGATTTCTTGCCCCCCCTCCCCCCACCTTCCCCAACCCCTGGGTTAAGACTGGCTATCTCTCTTCACTTGAAAAAATGTTAAAACTGCTGTCTGGGGTTAATTGCGGTTTATTCTTATTATTGATCATAGATAAAAAACAAAAGGGACTGTTCACTGGTTGTTCAGCTTTTGAAGTGCAATCAGTCCTTGGACAGAAAGTTTGTGGCGCAGAAAGTGGAGACGGTGAGAATGATTTTCACAAGGCCCTTGATTGTGTTACAGATTAAATTACCCATAATATTAATGAACAGAGTTATGGAAATGAATATTTTAAACCAAATATGTTGAAGATTTGAGTTGGTCAACAGAAAGATCATTTTTAAAAACAAAAGTACATTTTCTAGATTTTAGTGTTATTAGCTCAAAAGAAAAGACAAATATTTTTTTAATTTTTGTTTAAATTATACTTTATAATTTTCATTCTCTCCCACTTTGGGGTTTTTCAGGGATAATAAAACAAATAATTCAAATGGAACATAACCACGTTAAGAATCCCAGCTGGTAGGGGGTGAACCAGTTGGCTATTTACAAGTATAGCCAAGGATCTGATCTTGGGACTACCGAGAACAAATCCAGCTACCAGTCACAAAACTTGGGGCCTTGTTATTAATGGATTGAGGGATAGTCTTCCCTTCAGTCTATACTAAGCTCTCTTATAATATTTGAGCAATTTTGCAAGGCCCACCATGTTCAAAATGAATAAATAAATGAATAAATAAATAAACTCAAATGTTCTGGTTCATTCTATATAGTTGCCTTCAGATTTGAAAGAAAAGATGCAAGAAGAATTGGAACTTAAACCAAAGAATCAACCTCTTAGCCACCCTGCTTGGAGCAGAAAACTTTGGAGAACAAAGAGTGCTTCTTCTGCTTCTACAAGCTCCGCCCATCATTCAAGCTTCACTCAAAATGGACATTAAACAAGCTTAACAGTTTGTACAAACAGAAGAAACCAAGTTTTCTGTTAATTAAAAACACTCAGAGATAATTATTGTTATAACAGTTCTTGTCATGGAACAAAGAATAATATCCTTACTTGTTTGTTCTTGAGGAAATGAAAGAATAGCAGTGCATACATTTAATTGCCAAGCAATTTGGGTGTATATTAATTTCAGACAAAATTTTTTCAACATTTTACAGTGGAACCTTGATATAATGAATGGCCATGGGACTGACCAAATACATTCGCTATAACCAGGTTTCTTTATAAATATTGAGGTTCTTCTCCATATATTTTACTATAACTGGGGCAAGGAATATTGTTTATTACACAGGTATGTTAAATCGCGGTTCCACTCTACAGCCCTGACTTTAAAGAGTAGAGATATAAAATACTGTGGTTGTGAGTTTTAGTTTTTTTTACAATGTACTATTAGTTAGGGAGGCACATTTTATTATTTTATTTTATTGTATTGCAAAAGGGCTATTATTAGTTACCTGTAAATGTAATGAGCAACTCAGATGCAAAACAAGGACATCAACAAAGATTTTGAGCTTATTACACAAAGGAAGAGTTTATGTTTGAAAACAACTGCATTTAAAAGGTTAAAAATGTTGGGAGTTGAATGTGTAACATGGCTATAGCTCATTTTAACCTCCCATTTGCACAAACAAAAGTGATATCATTGT